GGCTGTGTCGGCCATCTTGAATCGCTTCCAAACGTTAATAGTTACGTTCTGAAAGTTTCATTCAAATCCATGCAGTGGTTTAATGAGATATTTTGCTAACAACCAGACATAATTGCCTTTTAATATTGAATTCATTGGTGGGCACGGCTAACCAAAAGGCTAGCTTCGCCAACACTAAAGGCTCCCACATACTCGGGTGCACCATGAGCCGCGTGGACTCCGTGCATATTGTCCGCGGATGTTTGAGACTTCATATTCGAGCGTACTGACGAATTCTTTAATTTCTTGCAATTTCAGTCATGATGTCAAGGATCAGGAGGAAGAGATAAGTTTGCATTTTAGCTTTAAAACAATAAAAGAAAAAAAGAAAAGATTATCTTCAAGATTTGACTCCATTTCGTCCACAAATGACACGATTCTCAACTTTATCAGCTTGGTGTCATAAAAAATTGATCTTTGCGCGGACGAGTCCGCGGATGTCCGCTTCGAGTCCGCCTCGAGTCAGCGCGGACCGAAGTGCGCCCGAGTATGTGGGGGCCTTAACAGCTAACCACTAATCACTAAGACATGCTGTAGATGGCTGACACAAACCTGTTGATGTTAGCTTGTTAGCTAGCTGTTAGCAGACTTGGCTAAACCCAGTTTTCTGGAAACTAATAGGTACGCTAATGTTTTTAAAGTTAGTGAAAACGATGATTAGCGTAGCATGCCCACCACTGCTTAAAGTCAAAACTTTATGACAATTGGTGCGTATAGTATTTGTTTGGGATGACTCTCAGTTACGACCACACCTAATTTCAGGTTAACATTTGAAGAAAAATGGCAACTTCTTAGTTTCGGCGGTCATTTTGAACTGGGTTGACTCCAAACGAAAATGAGTTTTATTAGAACATCCAACGACGTTAAAATCCGTCCAGTGGTTTGAGAGAAATTTTGCCAACAGACGAGGAAAAACACCATCTCCCGGTCTGTGAGGATCGACGCGCAGCAGCAACAGAAACAAAATGCGGTGAAAATTCTGTAGATTTTATAAAAGATTATTTTGCCCTGTAGTTTGTTTTTTTACATTCCACTTGATTGTCTTTGCATCTGTCCCAAAGTAAAACACGTTTTWTGGCAGTAGGTAGTTTGGTACGTTGGTTGGGAGTCAGTTTTAAAAAGTCTGGTGAGGATAAGACCTTCTTGGATAAAGCCGGAGTCCTGCGTTTGGTCCAATCTTGGTTTGATCTCGTTCATTAAAGCCATCGTCTTACAGAGGCTGAACGTTTGGTCCCTTCTGATCCCGACTGTGTCTCCTCGGATCGGGATCYGAAGGAGATTCTGCTCCAGAKGAAGTCCGGTTTGGACAGAACTGAAGTCAGTTTTTGTCCGAGGGAGCTCAGGCCTGAGACAGAGCGCACCAGGAGTTCTGCGGCGCTAACGACGACGTGGGGAAAGGATAATCCTCGTACTTAATGTCCATGAGTCCAGACCCTGTGCTGTCCAACTGAGACACCGTCTGCAGAAAGGAACAAAACAAAACATTTTTWAAAAATCTGACAACTAGAACCCAAACAAGATCCGTCTCCTCGTGGACTTTAGCCCGTTTGTGATTTGGAGGACAGGTCACCTGTGAGCCAGATGTGACGGTCTGGCCGGCGTACGGCGATGGAGCCATGTTGGGTTCGCTCTTAACGGTGGAGGCGAGTTCTGAGACGGACAGGGAGGACGGGGAGCCGGTGTCCGAGGGGACGGATCCTAAAGAGTCAACAGGACATTTCTGAGTCAGTGTTCCCAAAACTGCTGTCCTGTTTGTTGTGTTTTAGCTACTTCAGCAGACTTTGTTTTAGCTGTTTGACAAAAAGTTCGCCTCATTCAGGAGGTGTGTGATGTTTGTTTTCATACTTTTCTAAAAATGTAAATTTTAGTTACAATTTTTTTTCCTCTTAGTAACACGTTGAGGTATTTTAGGTGTCCTTTTACAACTTTAGCTTCTAGTTAGCCTTCTGATGAATTTAGCTTTTAGGTAGTGTTTTGTCACTTTGAACTTTTGTTTGGCCATTTGCTACTTTTGACTCCTGGCTAAAATTTTACTCCTTTTTAGCTTCTAGATTGTTTATAAAGACTACCTAGCACTTTAACTATTTAAACTTTTAGGTTTTGCTATTTTTACTTTTATTTAGCATTTTGCAACAACTTTTAGCTTTCAGCTAGTCTTTRGAACTTTCTMTYTAGCTTATTACAATGATTTGCTTCAAGTTAGCCTTTTGCTACTATTAGTTTTCAGCTAACCTTTAATTTTGTTTAGCTTTTTTAGGTAACATTTGGTACTTTTAACCAGAATTTTGATATTTTTAGCTTTTCTCTAGCATTTTGCTACTTCTAACTTCTGGCTAGCACTGTGATAACTGTAGCTTTTAGGTAGGGTTTTTCTACTTAAAACTTACAGCTAAATCTTTGCTGTTTTTGCCTTTATTCTGCTTATATGTGATCCTCTACAACCATTAGCTTTGWGTTAGCCCCTTGATACTTTTAGTTTTTAGCTAGTGTTTTGTTAATAAAATCTTTTATAGAACATTTTGCTACATTTGGTTTAAGCTGGCATTTTTCTTTTTTTTAATTTTCAGCAAAACTTTCATTGAGTTTGGCTTTTTWGGTAGCATTTGGTATTTATAGCATTTTGACATCTTTTTAGATTTTAGCTATTTTTTTACAATTAATTTTGTATGTGTCTACTTATTGCTAGTGATTTGATACTTTCATTTTTTGCTAACTTTTTGCTGCTTTTAGCTAGCATTTTACAAATTGTGGGCAGTTTTTATTTCTTTTACACAGCATTTTGTCAGGTTAGCTTTTCCTCTGCTTCTTTTAGCTTTTAGCTAGTGTTTTGTTAATAAAATCTTTTATAGAACATTTTGCTAAATTTGGTTTAAGCTAGCATTGTTCTTCTTTTAATTTTCAGCAAAACTTTCATTGAGTTTGGCTTTTTTGGTAGCATTTGGTATTTATAGCAT